GATCGAAGATTGATCTTAGAAAAGAATTGAGCTCTCTACAACCAGTAAAACAAATCATCTATACATAGGAGTAGGTATCTATTTCGAACTGTCACCTAATTTAGTTGCTTATAATCTATATACAATCTCAATGACACATCTTTCTTCTTTACAAACAACACTAAGGCTCCCTAAAGGGACATACTCGGTCGGATGAACTTTTTATCCAACAAATCATGTAGTTGTTTCTTTAGCTCTTTTAATTTTGCATGTGTCATTTTATATGGTGCCATTGATATTGGTTCCATACCCGAAACCAAATCAATAATTTAACCTCCCTATATGGAGGCAATCCAGGTAATTCATTGGGAAAGACATCGATAAACTCCATAACTATAGGGACTTGGTTTAACTGGAAAACTTCTTTCTCTACATCCATTATATATGTCAGGTAGCACTATACCCCTTTTTGGGCTATTTTTCTCGAGATAGCCAACAACATAATTGATGGAGACATAATCTTATCTCCTTGAAATACCAATCCAACTTCTTCATCTAGATCAAACACTTTTTTACCCTAACAATTTACCAAAGCCCTATACTTCACCAACTAATCCATTCCTAAAATCACATCAAAATCAACCATATCTAAGACATTTAAGTCTCTCATAAAAATCTTGTCTCTAATCTCTATTCCACAATCTAGATACACATACTTCATTAATACTAATTCATCTAAGGGAGTAGAGACTAAAATAAAGGATCTTAACAAAGTTGATTGTTTATCTAATCTCATAGAAAAATATAGGAACACAAATAAATGGGTTACACCAGTATCAAACAAAACTTTTGCTTTAAAAGATTAAACAAGAAGAATACTTGAAACAACTATGTTGGATGCCTATGCATCCTACTAAATCAAGGAAAAAACTCTAGCATGCCCTTGGCCTTACTATATTTTGCCTCTATCACCTACACCCCGACCTCTCTGACCATAGCCATAAAAACCTCTACCCTTATGAGCCACAGGCTGGCTTATTGATGGTGCTTGAATAAGAGGCTGGATTGAACCAGATAACCTCGATGTTGATGACTGTCTCCTAGGGCACTCTCTGATCTTATAACCTATCTGGCCACAAATGAAGCAAGCCTCAGTCCTTTTCTAACACTCTACACTAGTATGATCTCCTTTATAGTGCTTATATAAAGAACTACCCCCAAGTGAAACAAATGAGTTTCAAGGTGGAGTCTAGATTAAGCTTTGAGTACCATTAATGCCACTCTAACTACTTAAACCACTAATTGAAGGTTTCTTTTTAAACCTCTTCTGAACCCATGAGCCCTATGACACGACCAAAAGATTGATATCTTCTTCAAAGTGCAAGAGTGTCGAAGTAATAAATAACCCGGTAAGACCGGAGTCGAATCACAGGGAGGTTAATTGTATAAATTATAAACAACAATAACAACAATAATAGGAGAAGGAGAAGGATGATAAGAAGGAGAATAAAAGGAAGTTAATGAGAACTTTGAGATTTAAGATCAATGTAAGGATTAAACAATGATAATAATCAATTTCAAGGTTAGAGGATTCACTAATGGTATTTCAAACAAATATAGTATAAACTCTTATTACTCAAATAGAAACCACACACAAAAGAGGTTTCAATTAGATTATAAATTGTTAACATGATTATATTAGTTATCTTATTTGAATAATATTAATACTTATAAACGTTGTTAGGCATTCATGATTTTAACTTATGTTAACAACAAATCAAGTTTCTTTCATAACATAAATATCAATTACACCATATGGTTGGGCTATGAAAGTATCAAGTATTTGTTGTACCAAGTGTTATACAACACAAATC